TTTGATACTTGGTGTATATGTACCTTGGGTAGACCTCTCTCAGATTTGTTCATTTCATGATGATATCTTCAATTCTCTAATTTTGGTGAATATTTTTGTCATTTTTAGTAAAAAGTGATATTTTCGACTTCTTGTTGAAAACCGCAAGTGCAATTGCTTTGATATTACATATATAGGTACTACATGTGGACCTCTCTCAGATTTGTTCATTTTGTAATGATATCTTTAATTCTCTAATTTTGGTGAATATTTTTGTCATTTTTGGTAAAAAGTGATATTTTCGACTTCTTGTTGAAAACCGCAAGTCCAATTGCTTTGATATTACATATATAGGTACTACATGTGGACCTCTCTCAGATTTGTTCATTTCATGATGATATCTTTAATTCTCTAATTTTGATGAATATTTTTGTCATTTTTGGTAAAAAGTGATATTTTCAACTTCTTGTTGAAAACCGCAAGTCCACTTATTTTGATATATTATATATATAGGTACTACATGTGGACCTCTCTCAGATTTGTTCATTTTCTAATGATATCTTCTGTTCTTTAATTGCCATGTGCATTGCTAACAGCAGAGCTATCTCAGTCGACAGGCTGCTTGTTAGTTTTTCTGTTGACTTTGTCGAGTGGAGCTTGTCATACAAGTTGTCCGTGTCAACTTTTTGCTTTTTGGACTTCTTCTTGAAAACTGCAATTCTTATTGCTTTGATACTTGGTGTCGGACCTCGTGTAGACCTTACTTAGATTTATCCGCTTTGTGATGACATCTCTGCCTGTATTAATCATGTTAAAATTACAGATGTACTTAATACCTCTTGGGATACATATGCATTTGTTTTGTGATAAAATGGTGACCATTTTAATGCTAAATTCATAAAAATTAAATATTTTTTGTAGGCTTTAATGTCACTTTGTTTTACAGATCTGATTCAAAATGGCTGATTGCTGTAGCAGTGTTGTGTCTTTGTCATGTTTGGACTAATCAAATTGAAACTTAACATGTAGCACTTAAGCACATGCATTTGTTTCGCAATCCAATATTGAAGATGGCCAAATGATTCAACATTTCTGCCGGGTTTCAGTTTTGTCATTTGATATTCCCAAAAGCTAAAATTTGAAAGACATCAAAAAAATGATTTATCAAGATAAATTTTAAAACCAACTACATATCCATCTGATCAGTGAATCACAAGAAATTGACACAGTTAATAAAAATAATTACAATCTGCAAATTTTAAATTTTACAAATAAATTTTATGTCACGATAAAAGGAAGAACATCAACATCATTTGTATATCCTCCGTTGTTCAAATGTTGGTTTGTGTCCTCTACATGTTGTTGTTTTGTACATTACTCCTGACTTTTTACAACACTGCTGCGAATGATTATACAAACTCACCAACGAGCAAATTATATTTCATGTAAGCAAAGGAATCATTTAGTATGGCCTTGTGATAGATATTCTTAGCTAAGCCATATAATGGAGACAGACCGTATGTTATAAATTACAGGGAATTTGTGTAGTATTATTAAAGAACAACAGGTATACAGCAGAGAAAAAAAATAAAATGCCAAAGGTTTGGGAGATGAATTGATGCTTCACTAAAGTGCTGGTGCTGAATATAAACAACTCAAATATCATCAGCTTTATTGTGTGTCTGTAGGTGTCAGTTTAAACACGTTATTATGACTAAAGAACGTTGTGTCAGGCAGGAACTTTGTTTGATTGATTCTGGTTCCGCATGTATCTGTTAACTGTCAAATTTCTTTTAAACTTCATACTAAGACAATACAGAGTGTCATACATATGTATACAATATGCATTTTGATCAAAAAATAGATGCACATGCATTGGGTTTCAGTTGCACAGTTATTAATTCCCGTTCAGATCAAAAACAGTGACTTATGCTGTGGTATTGACATCACCCATGATAGGTAACGTCAATTTGTTTTGTGATTTAATTAATGATGTTCTATTGACGAATTTTGTTTGAATTTGGTACAAATAATGGTTTGGATATACTCTTCAATGTTTTGATGAAAATTAACTGACTGGTAGCCATTTTGTCTTCAAAAAAAATCTTTGTATTTTAACATGTCTTGTTTCTCAGGCATGCCGACATCTATTTTACATGATTAGATTTTGTACACTACTCCTAGATATTTACTTGAAAAATCTCCTGAGCACATTTCTTTTAGGTCTAGCCTTAATTTTTTCTGCGTAAGTGTAATATATTCATAGAATTTCTTCTCACATCAGAAATCATTGATTATAATGTACTCAGGTCGATTACTTTGTAATAGTAAATTTCAATCCAATTCAAAATGTCTTGCATCTATAATACTAAATTCCTTGATCTAAGAATCTAATTTAACATAATCACATCTAACGCATGATGTGTTATTGGTCCTGTTGCTAGTCATGTGTTATCTTAATCAAATAATAACTATTGAAGATTCCTCCATAAATTTGTCCTGAATCTAAGTCTTTATTAGGTTATGTGAATTTACATTCCAATAGTTTATTGAGTTTGTTTGAACTAAGTATTGTTGATGTGTAATCGTATGAATTGCTGAGGCTGTCTAGAAGAATTTAAATGTGCGATATGATGTGAATGACATATAATTTATGCACACTGAATAACATATCACATAATGATGTATGCTTATCACTTAATGATGTATGCATATCACATAATGATGTATGAATATCATATAATGATGAATGCATATCACATAATGATGTATGAATATCATATAATGATGTATGCATATCACATAATGATGTATGCATATCACATAATGATGTATGCATATCACATAATGATGTATGCTTATCACTTAATGATTTATGCATATCATTATGATGTATGCATATCACATAATGATGTATGCATATCACATAATGATGTATGCATATCACATAATGATGCATGCATATCATATAATGATGTATGAATATCACATAAGTATGTTTGTTCACTACAAAATATACATGTAGTGATGGCCACTCTCTGAACATTTGACCTTCAGTGTTCTTGTACTATATACACATAGCCTTATGGTAATTTCTTTGTTGTTTTCAGATTACTACATACCTTGGTAAAAGAGACTTTGTTGATCACCTTACACATGTGGACCCAGTCGGTAAGTATATATATGAATTATTTGAATTATTTTATGAATCACAAGACAGCTAATTATTTGTAATTCAAGTATTACACTTGACTCCTATGCATGGTGTTTTTGTAAATGCACATAGATTTATAAATGTTCATTTCTGGTACAAAATTTGTCAATCTTGTACGGACACTTCAAATCTTTATGGTATGAACTATTTAATTGGTTCCCTTTGTTCATAGAAGAAGTACACTGATTGGTGCATTTGCTAGTTGCTGAATAGCCACAAGTACTTTCACTGAGGTCCTAAGGAGTCTCATCGACTTCCAATGGAATGCTTGCTATTAACAGTTACTTTCTCTGGGCTCCTAGGGGATCAAATATACTTTTACTGGGGTCCTAGGGAGTCACAGTGAGTTTTGTTAAATTTTTTTCTCACAAAAATTGTTAGTGAGTTTAAAGTAGTTTTCAACATAGAGGAAGATACTAGTAGTTACAAGCAAAAACGTTTTTCAATTGTAAAAACATAAAACCTCATACATGTATGTACAACAACTTTAATATGTGGCTTTTCATTGCGATTGTAAAAGTTGTTGTTAAACTGATAAGCACCACACTATTATTAGGTTATCAATTTAATCCAGATGTAATTTTTATTTATTTTTAGCTCTGTAGCTCATTAATATTCCTAAAAATATTAGTCTTACTAAACCTAATGGTAGTGATTACAACCGTTAAACCATGGATCATTAAATAATGCCATTTACTAATTAGAAACAAAAAAATGATTGATTCAGCTATTTTAATCAGCTTGGGTAGTCCAATTTTAAATTCAGCAAATACAATCAACTTAGGGGTCCTTTGATAATTTTTTCTCGATTTGCTGAATATTTATGTCTTCAACTTAATGCTGCAAGTAAAATGAAAAAAAAGAAAGAGAAAATTAGTTTTTTTAAAAAGTAGTAATTTCTTGTGGGAGGTTATTTCAATATTCAAGATGTCTGCAGTTCCAGAGAGCTTTTGTCTGTAGAGGGCGCTCTATCCATATTTTGTCATTGGAGTATTCTTTGACAATACTTTGTTACCTTGCAACACACCGCTTACATTTTATAATAAATTATTACAAATATGTTTTTCACCTTTTCTTCTTTTCAGTGTCATTTAATGTTTTATACTATGTGAAATGTAATCTCGTAATCTAGATGGAAAGCAATTTTGTTTTATTTTGATGTATTGCACTTTTCATAATTATAATTATATTAATTATTGAAAAGAAAATGCACAACACTTTTTAAAATGAAAGTCTGACTATTACCAAATATTTATTAAAATTAATGAAATGAAAATAATTTATTCTTTTTATGTACTCAAACAATCCTCTTCATTTGCATATTTGTTTTATTGTACAAAATACATGATGGTTTTGCTTGGTGCGACCCATGATGGTTTTTGTTTTTCACCCATTTAAATTATTTTTGCAGTAAGTGAAAATGTGTTGCTAGTTTTTTCAATCAATCATGCGATTGTACTAGATTTAGCTAGCTCTTGTAATCCATCATACTCACTCTGCCACCTTTTCAACTTGTTTAGTTTTCATTTATTTTTAACATTATTCATTTTGCCCCTGGCTATATTCAATAGCTTAATTTAATTATTTAATTAGCTTTCTTTCTTCATTGTTTTTTGTCCAGGACATTTTAATGGTGAACCTGTAATGAATTTTTTCTCTGGTCTTGTATTTCTTTAGATGTCATAATTTTGGTGTAACATTTTTCTGTCATTTCCAAATGAGGATAATTATTCAGTACATACATGTCTGGGTCAAATAAAAATAAAAAAATATGTTTAATTAATGAAAGATGGAAAAAATCAACTTTGGCACTTTGGCATTAAACAAGGTAATTACTGCCAATTAAGCTGATACATTCTTCATGTAATTTCACTTAAATGTTCCAAAATGTTATGCATGGCTCAATTCACGGCCAATGAACGCAACAGAGCATTACTGTATTGTCTGATAATGCATTGCAACATTGTAACTCAATCTCCAAACATTGGCGTATATATCTTATTGCCATCTCTTAATTAAAGCCTTCATCAGTAATAACAATTATTATTCATAATTATTAAGACAAAATAAAACAAAATGTTTTTTTGTTTTATTTTCAAAGATGGTGTTATTTTGGTGGACCCTGAATACTTGAAAGATCGTAAAGTCTTTGCACATGTGTTAGCAGCATTTCGTTATGGACGTGAGGATTTAGACGTACTGGGGTTAACTTTCCGAAAGGACCTTTATCTTGCGTCTATGCAGGTCTATCCCCCAATCACAGAAGAACAGAAACCACTAACAAGACTACAAGAAAGACTGATCAAGAAACTGGGGCCAAATGCTCATCCTTTTTACTTTGAGGTTTGTATGAGTAATTGATTCATTTCATATAAATAGCAGGAGTGGTATAAAATACAGATGTATGTGACATCTTCATTGTCTTTTGAAAATGTTACAAACTAAGATGTACAAATGGTTAATATGTGTAGTAGTGTCATACTCTTGATATGAAGCTGTAAAGTATAGACATATTATTACAGCAGATGGATTTAACATATTCTTACTGTGCATTCTTTTATCACACTCGTATTTCGCTGCTGAGTGTCTGTATGGAATGGCGAGCAGGTGTTAATGGACTCAAGGATTTATATGTACCTTCCCGTAACTGTGTAATTTTATACACTAAATTGACTACTTTCACAATTGTGAATGGCACTGTTCAATTTTAACCAAAAGTGACTATTCATCTATGCACCTCCCTCCCCAAACATCAAAAACTTTATGTTCCAGTTTCAATATGTTGTTTTCAGACTTCTAATGTTAATTTTTGTTGAAACTGACACATAATCCCTACAATCACCATGCATTTTAATTTCAGGTAAACAAATTTATTTTACACACATTGTATTAGTTGAATGGAACCCACAGTAAACATGACATGAATATGTCACTTTAATTAGGGTTAAATATTCAATCAGTTATAAATTGCAAACAAACATGCACTACATAAAATACATTGTTTATTTAAATCTAACCTCCTTGATCTGCAAATGTAAAGAGACAATACAAATCAGCACTGCTAAATGATGTAATAAAAACATTCTTCATAGTTATAAAAGTTACTGATTATTAAAAAGTAAGGACTTGAATTATTGATTGCGACATGTTATTTAAAAACAGGATCACGTGTAATTTCAATCATCACGACTGTCTCTTGAATCTTATTGATTTATACATTCAATTTACAGCTGCTGTCTGAAGATTTATTCTCTAGTTATTGCATTATCTTTGCAACTTTTCCTCAATAAATGTGCAAATTGTTTGTAAACTGTTACATACTTTTCTGCAGGTACCTAAGAATTCTCCTTCATCAGTAACACTACAGCCAGCCCCGGGTGACACTGGAAAACCTTGTGGTGTTGACTATGAACTAAAGACTTATGTGGCTGACTCTATTGATGAGAAACCCCACAAGCGTAATTCAGTTCGCTTAGCCATACGTAAGATTACGTATGCACCTTCAACACCCGGCCCGCAACCCAGCGTAGAAGCCAGTAAAGAATTCATGATGAGTACTGCTCCCCTCCACCTCGAATCATCTTTGGATAAAGAGGTAAGATTATAAATTTATGGATGATTTTCAATATATAAATCAGATTTCGAAAATTTAAAATAATATAATTTATTGTAAAACTAACAAATTTTGAAAACTTTACTGAGAATCACATCGTATTTGAACTGTTGATTCATCATTCCATTACTTGGGTTCTAGGAAGTCACAAGGACTTTCACTGGGTTCCAGGGAGTCGCAGTGAATTTCACTAGGTTCTAGGGAGTTGCAGTTACTTTCAGTGGGGTCATAAAGAATCACAGTTCCTTTCGCTGGGATCCTAGGGAGTCAAAAGTGAATCAATTTACAGTATACTTGCAGTTCCATTGCGGTAAAACATGCATATTTCTTTCATGTGGAGAACCCTCCTACGTAAATACAATTGTTCTGCTCTCAATACGGGTAATAAGTTTATCGTTGCTATTTCCATTCATCCTAAACCCTTGAAAGTCGCCTCCTTTTACCAAGTATTTTGCAGTCACAAGGTTATTTTATCTACTTGGAACACATTCCAAAATGTACTTGTTGAGATTTAATAAATTGCCATAGCAACTATGTTTTTATTATTCACTTGTACATAGAACACTTGTTGACCTTGCTGTGTGTTAGAGTATATTTTATTACTTACATGTGATATGCATGCACAATTAATGTTTTTTTTGAAACGTGCAGCCACACGTCTCAAGATAGATGTGACTAGCCTTTATTTTATTTTCCATCTGACTTTTATTTATTCGTCTCACATCGATGTTATGCAAATGTTTCAAAATTGTATATGCTGGTTTTGACATGTTAATAATAATAATATTATAAAATCTGTATTAGAAGCCGTGGCTTCTATTGAAATGCTACAATGCAACAGAGGGGATGCGGCTTCTATTAGAACATCTACAGATATGAGAAATAGTGAATTTTGGATACTCAATAGGTGCAGCTTCTAACAGGAATGTGGCTACTAATACAGATTTTACGCAGTAATAATTGTTAGATTACCCATATTCTTATCGATGTAAAAACAGTTTTTATTTATTTTCTACATCTTTTTTTTTGATAATGCATTAAATTTGGGTGAAATTTAAGTATGGCACTCAGAGTTGATAATAATATTAAATAGACTATTAAATTGGCTTGTCTCGTCTGATTTCTATCATATTTCAGCTAGTGTTCTTGTTTTTTTCTAATTAGGGAGATTTATATTACAAGGGAGAAATAAATAATTGAAAAAAAAAATGTTATTTTGAAAATTGTCTTTTGAAAATATATTTTTTTTTTAAGCTTCTCAAAATTAGGATGGAGAGTTAGCATAGCTAGACAAAAAGTCTGCAATGTTCATTTTGTTTTCAATGCTTACTTTTCTTGTGGTTACATATATTTTTTTTTTTGCAGATGTATTACCATGGTGAAAGCATTGCTGTGAATGTACAGATCACAAACAATTCAAATAAAACGGTGAAAAAGATTCGGATATCTGTGCGGCAGTTTGCTGATATCTGTCTTTTTTCTACTGCTCAGTACAAATGCCCTGTAGCTGTGCTGGAAACTGAGTAAGTATATGTTTAGTAATAAAGTAAAACATGTTTGAAACAAAACAACAGAGGTACTGAACAAAATGTTTATGCACAAGGAATGAGAATATATTTTTAATGATGCAAGCTGAAAAATGAGATTTTGACAGAAATGATTTTCAGTAAAGGTAGTAAAGAAATTCCTCACCCCTCGTAAAGTATGCTAGTTTGCATTGCATGGCTTTGAAAGAGAAGTTTGGTACACAACACCATGCATTAACATGAATGCCCTTATGTTTTATCTGCCAATGATTTCTTAAATGGGATATCTGTATATATTGCTTGACCATGATCTTTAAAAAAATGAAATATTAGACCGCAACAACATTTATTTTTCTGGTAGTGAAGATGTGTATCAGTTTAAAATGATTGAAAAGTTTTTTGTCAGAGTTTTAGAAATAATGAAAGAAAAAATCAGTTTTCAGGAAAATCAAATATTTTAATGAAAAATAGCATGTCACCTGTTGAAAAGCTCCACAGACGCATCAAATTCAGTAGAAAATAGGAGTCACAAGGCAATGTGTTAAACAATAACAATTATAAAATCAATGTGCTTCAGCACGATTTTTTTGAAAATCAATTTACTAGAAATGCTTTTCTTTTTTCCCCCCAGCCTGATTTCTTATTACCTTGAGTAGGTGCATAATTCTATGGTGGTTTTATCATGCTGTTTAATAGTGTATCATTAAGCAAAGTGCTTCATATCATGTAATTGGTTCAAGAGACATTTTCAAAAGTAGCATCAAACTCTAAGCAGACATTGAATACCTTTTTCAAAGCATTTGCATTTTCACCTTGAGATATGTTCTACTTTAATGTTGTGATGTTATGAAAGATGCCATTAATTCATCGATTTCTGAGGTTGATAGACTTGATGTTGTTGCTAGGTAACCCCTCATGTTAGTCTCAGTATGATCCTGGGTTTATTATTCACTCTAGTTTTTATCTGTAAATAATTATTTTCGATATACATGCTTCATGGTGAGTGGCTTTCAAAAAGATAATCACATGACCTACTGCTGTGATTTATTATTAAATAGCCAAAGCTAAAATTGATGATTCAGTTTTAAATCTCTATTCATGGTATAAGGACTGTACGTGCCTTAGTAACAAAACATGACCTTTGACAATCGATTTTGCTGGTTGACAACTGATGGGTGTGCTGCTTTGACTTGGTTGTATTGTAGTAAATCTAGGTAGTTACTTTTTCAAACAGAAAACTGATTAATTCAGCTCATGTGGTCTGAAAGTGGTTTGTTTACATCATAAAGTATAGCTGGATTCCACGTTTAAAAAAGTTTTGAATACCAGTAATGTGACATGTTTTTACAATACATATATTTATTACCAAAGCCTGCCAGTGCCCATACTCATGTGTACTTATTTATCTTAGAAAGAAAACATCAGTGTACCATAATGGCATCACACATGATATGGGGTTGTAAATGATCCCTGGTTTGTTGCTAAAAGCATTTACATGATCAAAAAATGTTCAGTTAATCTGATTGTGAACAACATGACAGTCAGGATTCTGAGATCTCAGTTAATATGGCTAGCTCTTATTTTAGTACAGAATTTTTTCACTCTCTATTATAACAAAATATTTTTCTTAAACATGCTGTTCATACTGTTAATGTTCTCACCAATTATTTTGTTAAAGCGGGAGGGTTGTCACTTGCGCACATGCAGGAATTGAGTCCCAAGCGACGATAACAACATGCTAAAAATGCAAAGGCTCATGGGTAGATGCTTGTTTGTAAACAATGACACGCTATGGCCATTCCCTCGCTTCAAAATACAGATAATTCTATCTGTCGTATTTAACAGTGTTGTCTATTCTTGTATGGTAACCACAATGTTTATACTTTTTGTGTTTCAGAGATGGATTCCCTGTTGGACCAAGCCAGACACTATCCAAAGTATACTATGTAACTCCTTTACTTGCCAATAATAGAGACAAGCGTGGATTGGCACTAGATGGCAAACTAAAACATGAAGACACCAACCTAGCATCATCTACTATGTAAGTAAAATTACATGTAGAGGGCGCTGTTTATAGTACCCTGTATATTGAGATGTGTCTGTACATTGCTGTATCGTGTTCTGGAAAAAAAAACATGGTTCTAAGATTTTAGCAACATAGTAGTGAATCTGGTTGTCCAATTAACTTTGTGATAAACTTCTTAATAAAATCAGCATCTACTGAAAAATAAATGAAATGAATTTCCCCTGCCATATAAGAAGTGCAGCAATATATTGATTACTGGTATGGTAATACTTTCCAACTCAGCGTGAAATTATATCTAGTATGGGTACAAATAGACCAATTGAATATTTTATTTATTCA